ACCACAACTGATAAAATATGTTTTTATCTACTTTTCTGTCATCGATTATGCTTCTCATATAGTTTTTTAGTTGAGATGGAGTCCTATCTCCTATCTGCACTTGACTGAGAAGTTGTTCGATGGCTTGCCGGTCGCTTAATGAGACGGCTTTAATCACTGCCTGTTTTAATGCGTCGTATGGCTTTTCTATGTCTGGCTTGATTAAAATCTCTCGTACATTATCTGCTACTTCATCTGGAAGTAGCGAGCTCGCGTGGCCAAATTTATCTCGCTGTGTATGAACACGATTAGCTACAAAGTAATGTTCAAGTCTGATAAACCAAAGTTGAGGATCTGTGACCTTAAAAGGAGGAATAGTTACATTAATGGACCTCACGGACGGCGTTTGTGAAAGTTCTACTGTATCGTTACTTAAAGACATATTTATAAAGATCAAAGATTACACAAATATAATGCGAATGTCACAGAGAAAAGTGAGTCGATAAAAACAATGATAAAAACAAATGGTACAATTTATAACAAAGAACGGACTTACTAAATTGCACCAAAATATCAATTGTTTGTAAAATATCGTTGTTTACTATGAATATTATCGTTATGTTCAATAATGTTTGTGAGATAATGTACGTGTAATTAAAATAATTTTTTTTTAAATCCACAGTTATAATTATAATCCAAATGATAGTTACAATTGTAATCGAATACGTTGGATTTTAGGAATTGGATTATGTCGTTCAAGACTGTTTCGTGTTCGCGCGTCGGGATCGCCAATTATGTGGTGGTCGGTATCCGATATAATCCTTAACTTCGTATACAATTCGTCTTGCTAACCGTTCTGTATAACGCCCCAACGGTATAATAATCAGAAGGCAAATACGAAGTGTTGATTACGTTTATTGCGAGACCACACACATATATCCAAATGTACAAATGCGTTAAATAAGCATAGAAGAGTTGTGCCGAAAGGCAAGCAAGCAAGCGAGGGCCAGAGCAAGAGCGTGGTGAGAGCGTGTGAGCGAATGAGTGTGAGTGAGTGAGTGTTCAATATGAATAACATGGATATATATATACCATGTGAAATGAATGGGTAATCGAATCGAATAAGCGGTTAGTAGTAAGACTAGCAGAGTGAATAAATGCGTAGGCAGTAATCAATATTCAAGCATGCGTATTTCATGCAAGCACAAAATAATAATAAGGGTACAATAAATTGTTATAGTGCGGATGGCTTTGTCCGCTAAATAAGTTAGCAAAAGGGCTTAACTTAGTTAAATGAGAATAAACCCATTTGCACGTGAGTCGCTATAAATATCTAGTCGAGAATGTTGTGGTTACGTCTAGTTGGGTGTATATGCCGCTGTCAACCGTGTGCCCAAGGAATCATTTATGGTTTCCAGCCATAATGGACCAGAGTGTGTCTTCCATTTGATTCTGGGAAACTTGAAGTCGCCACAAGTAGTCATACTGGCGAAGTCGAGGGGGCAGCATCAGCAAATGACTCAATTATAGTAGCGTCAGTCGAACTAGGAGTGTTTGGAGCTCGATATACACATTTAGAAGCGTGCGCAGCAAGCCTTATCTATTCAAGCAATGTGTTAGGGGCAGCATCGCTAAGAATTTCCTCTCCCATATTTTTAGACGCACATATAAGACAACCACCACTCTTCTCAGTGATTCCGTCACAGCAGAAGAGATCGTAGGTGTCATTTTGAAGGTATGAGCTTGTGACTTCTTACGACAACTAAGTTCCCGTTATCAAAACAAGTGAATAATTATTTAAAGGTACCAGGGTGAACAGTTTGGACATTTTAATCTGTACAGATCGAGCGTTGATCAACGGCGAGTATTTGCCTTGCAGGAGAGAGTGTTGTAAAGCTAGTGGGTTGTTTGTCTTCTATGTGGAGAAGAGGATGAAGTGGAAGTGCAATGGTATTTGTCAGTTACCACACGATTCTCGAAGCTGAACAAATAATCTCTGATAAGACTGACATTAAACATGTAACACTTGAGGTCGGTAATAGCGAACGTGGGAGGATTAAAAATCGGCATGACATGGCTCAGCTCTGCACATGTGGTCATTATGTGTAATCTGTTGTTATTCACATTAAACATATTATTCTATCCCTAGTTCAAATTTTAATTGTTATGATACGATGAATCAGTGTAGACAATGATGTGACTTCCACGTATGATCCTAAAGATTAGGGTTCCATATCATTACAAATCTACAATTTTGGGACTAGGCCTATGATTGTAGTAGTGCTAATACCGAACTAGACCATAATTCTACAGGGGTGTCTGTCCCATAGTCATATTCGTTGGGTTTATTATCAATACGAATGATGAAAGGTAGTCAGAGTGTAGTTTGGCGAAAGAAGTATGTTTAAAATTGATAACTGGAGGATAGTGGGTTAAATGAACAAGAAGTGTATTTGAGGAATGGTCAGGAGATTTAGTCAAGAAGCGTTTGAGACTAGGGGCAGTTATTGATCAAGAAAAAGGTGTTTCGTTACCCATTTGGTCGAAGTATATAGGGGATAGTTTCGAAAGAGTGGGGTTATCGCCCTCAGCAGTTGGAAACATCATAGTGGCACTGTAGAGAGGGAGAGATAAAAAAGCATGATGTGACGTGTATGTCGACTTTTGGGAGTCAAAGAGTTTTGTAGAGTAGCTTGGTTAGGGTAGAGTCTAAAATCACCTAGTGGGTGCCAAAGTAGGCCGATGTTGTAGATTTGTTGTATGTTTCGGACCACTTCAGCCCTTTTATAGGCAGGTAAGGAGGTTGTAGGTGTCATTTAAAAAATCAGGAGTTGGCTGAGATAATTGCCAAGAGAGGTATTGGAGGTCAGCCACAATTTCTGAAAACTACCCACAACAAGTGACACTTTTGGGTAAGCGGCAAGGAGTACCAGACGATGTTGACTGAGGCGGTTTGTGGTCTGTTCTATTTATGCCTATGAGCGAATTTCAAGGCAGTGAGATGCCATACCCACGTACATGCTCTATATCTAGTATATCTGTAAAAATGTCAGAGCACGACGTGGAATAATCAATGTATTTACATCATTCGTTTTAGCGATGGATTTAGGTCATTTGCAGGTACTATAGGCCTCAGGGGAGATTACAATGTTCTTTGAATGGCCTGCACGTAATTTGGGGGGATTCAAGTATAAGTAAGGTTTATATTAGTTGAATGGATACTGTCAGAATTAACTTAATAGATGATAAATATTCGATGGTAGGATTGAATCCGATGTTTTTAGGATGTAATATATGACCGTTAATAACCGACAAAAAATGTACGGCGTGAAACCTAACAAACTAAGTATACATTGTTGAGCGCCAATATGAAGTGTCAAATTAATAAAGCGCTACCAAAATATAACATTTTGCCAATTACTTTGTTAGCTTTGAGCGAAAAAATAATGGTATGAAAAAAAACTACGTGAAAGAATGTTACGATTTTCAAGGCCTGCGCGCGATTTATCCATAATAGATTTGGCATGAAACGTCTTGTAAAATGATATTGTATTTTCTCAGCTTTACTCTGTTCAAAGAAACGCATGCAACTGAATATAATTGGGCAGTATTCTGGTAGTGGTCGAACACACCTTATAAAAAATCACTTTGGATTCCGCTATATGGAAACTACAATTGACAAACACGATAAGCTTGTGGGCTTTAAAGACTTGATATGTTGCTTGTTAGGTGAATGAAAGACTTGGATTATTTCACTAGATTGTGTATATCTATACACCCCTTCTTACAAGCTTTATTTTGGCATATAAACTATTGTTATACGATTTGCCGTTCTTGAGTTATGCGCAGTCTATCAATTACAGTTTCCCACATTCACAGCCACTTTTGTCTAGGTCTTGTACAAATGTTATTTTCTATTTTATGGTACGATGTGGTCTATTTGGTTTGTATATAAACCCGGTATGTTTGAAATACATGATTCATATGCCGAAGGCTGGGATTAATATTCTGGACTTAACTTATTTGTTATACAATCAAAGTATTTTGTTAGACAGTCATGGTGTGACGGACCAGCTAGCTTGAGGTCACAACTTCCTGTGAAACGAACAAAGTTTTTGGGAAGGTTAAAATGACTCAATGTTTATATGCCTAAAGATGCCACAAGTATTCGGAGTTTGACAACACATGGATCAGGAACACCTTTTACAATCGAAGTGTGCCAACTTAGTCAAATCAGAAGTCAGATGTTCGAAGGTATATTTGCTAGGCTGTCGATATATCATGAAGCGATTAAATAAAACTGGTTAACAGTTGTAGGAAATATGTAGCACAGCGTATCCACACGTGATGTAGTGGGAATGAGTGGAAGAGAGCCTTCAGCTAACTGAGTTCATTAAAACGAATGCGGTTATTATCAAATGTCAAAGACTTATAGAACTATATTTTGGGGGTTTATTTGCCGCTACATGCTGTTTGATTTACTAAGATCTACCCGGAAGCTAGGACCGATAATCTGAGCAACGGTATACGTTATGTTTTAAGCCTAGTAAAGAGTCTCATTTAAAGAGAATAATTATGAAATATGATACCCATATATTTCTTTTTAACACACCTGCCCTTCAATCAACAATGTATGTGTAATATCGAGCATTTCGCCGATCATTTAGTGCATGGATCATATATACAAGAGCATAACTTACACCAAGGATTTTATTTTAAGTTTTAAATACCAGTATATCTACTTTTTTCATCCCACAAGATAAGTTGCTTAACAGTCGCATGTTCATAGATATTTGTAGAAAGCTTTAGATAACTGAAATGAAATCCTAAGTTCAAAGCACGGTTCTATATGCGCTAGGATTACATCAAATGTACTGAAAATCACTCGAAAATGCAGAATACATCACTTTTATTGACTATTGAAAAGGGATGATTATCTCTTCAGCGCTCTAATTGTAAAGACTAGGTCATTTGCCCACCGCTGGTTATTCTGTCAATTTCAAATCTACTGTTCATCACCCATGTCTTTTCATAAGTTGTGGAGGAAAGCACAAGACAATCCGACTGAATTTTCAGTTTGGATCAGCCTTTTGGACCTCGTTGAAAAACAGGTAATACATATATGTCACCGAATATCTTTAGCAAAATATTGAGTATGCTAGACAAGCCTTTGATGCTTTTTTCAAACGTTTCCCATATTGCTATGGTTATTGGAAAAAGTTCGCTGATATGGAACGCCATAAAGGAAATAAGGAAAAGTGTTTACAAGTAAGAAACTTTTGATCACCTACTTAATTTGACTAAATACGTTTTTCACTGTGTCCGTATTGTTGTTTGTAATTGAAATACTACACGAAAACCGGAAGACTGAAGAATTTTCAAGTGCTTTCGATCAAACCTGTATAACGACAGCTGTACAATCTGTAGCGCGTTTCGTATAATCGCGTACTTTAAGATTATTGTAATGACAGAATCGCAAGCAAACAGCAGCAGTGACACTTTTGGTTAATGAACCTTACTAGGAAACAGGCTTTCGGTGCATATGTCCAAGTTTTGAACACCGCACATCTTACCCTAGGTGGGGCTACAGGGTATTAGTTCAAGTACTTGGTGAATGAGTTGATTATGGTTGCAAAATTCTATTTTATTTCAGTAAGACCAGAAATAATAAGTTTTAGCTATTTACGTATATTTCTTGCTGATAAATACTGCTGGCAATTTGTAAAGGGCAAATTCACCCAAGTAGTCAGAATGTAATTTATCAATTACAGATCTCAAATTACCGTATGACAATAAGGGATTGAGGTGGTCTAGGTATTGGTCTTGATAGATGCACTAGGGAAATGACGTTTCAAAGGTGTATACACTACATTTAAATGGTTTTTCATATCAATTAATCGCTGGGTCAAAGCGTTACATTGTTCTTCCGACACTTGCATCACTGATAACCTGTGCCATTAAAATCCTTTCTCTTATTAGTTTTCAGTTATCTTATGTAAACACTGGACGTAATCGAAAATAAGGTGGTTCAGATAAGCCCCCTGATTCGCTTTGGGTCATAATCACTTGCGTTTGTTTGGTAAAGGTGGTCTTTACGTTTCACAAAAGGGTTGTACTGGTAATTAGTTTCATCTCTTCATTTCTTGATGTGTCCAGAAATCTTTAGTTGTTACCTCATGTTGATGGTGAGAAAATCTTGGACTAGTTGGTTTATCCTCGAACCAGCATTATTGTTGCAACAGACATAATCTAGATGAAGATTTGGCTTGCGACACATTATTTGGTAAATATGAGGCCGGTGTATCCATTTCTGATATCATCTACCACAACCACTTGCCACCTCAACTAGGAAGACGCACGTCGTACACTTCACCTTGAAAAACTAATCATTACTCGGTAATTTAACTCATTACCAGGTACATGTTTGTGTACTTGGTTTGACCCTCACTAAGTATTCTGAGTAGTGGTACTACCGGTTACCCAAACCAAAGTAAGTGGGATGTGGCTGGAAGTTGCGACTGCAAGTTGAAGGGCTTCACAAACGCCACCAACTAAAAATCCAAAAGGGGAAAAGCATTTACAAACTTTATGATGCAAGAAAATTAAGAATATTATTTTAAAAAATTAGCAGAGTACCTGAAATGACGAAAATTCAAGTGACAAATTTTATTAAACAATAAACTTTCACCGAGACTATTCGTGGTAATATTTATGGGTAAATATACTACAAACAATATTAAGATCCAATATACTTTTGAACGATTACAACCACTCCCGTTTTTAGTTTGCATAATTAAAAATGTAGTAATCCGTATTGTGTATAGTTGATGCTAGTCGCAACGCCGGGTTATCTTATTTACTAGTTAATGATTCTCACTTCATAATTTGCAACGTGAGTACGAAATTATCTGAATCACTTTCATGTTTTCCCACATATATTAATGCCTGGTATTTTTTAGTGTTCATTAAAATCAGGACACGTCAGTTGTGTATTGATGCGTTTGCGAGTTTAACTGGGATTTAAACCCTCGTCACCAGTTATTCCAACTCGTGACACCAGCTTGATAGTTTTTTCAGTAAAGACTTTTATATTTAATAAATATAAACTAGGGTGTCATAAGCAGTCTTTACACTTATGTAGGAAACTTATGTACTTTTCAACCCTTCTTAAGATGCAGTTTACTTACGCCTGTTACACCTTGTGGAGAAGCATAAACCGCCCACCAGCATTCTCCATCCAACTCTGTCCTGAGCAATCCTTTCCAGTTGTTATTCATTCTTTTCATGTCTGCTTCCAATTCCTGACGCAATGTGTTCTTTGGTCTTCTTCTTTTCCGTTTTCCTTCAGGATTCCAAGTTATTGCTTGCTTCGTGATGCAGCTTGATTATTTCCTCAATATATGTCCTATCCACTTCCATTGTCTTAATTTCCTTCTCAACTGGAAGTTGTTTTGTTCTCTCACACAGTAGGCTGTTGCTGATGATATCCGGCCAACGGATATTGAGTATCTTAAGTAGACAATTATTTATAAATACTTTTTGATGATGGTTGTAGTAGTTGTAGTTTCAGCTCCGTACAGTAGGACTGTCTTGATGTTCGTGTTGAAGATGGTGACTTTGATATTGGTTGACAGTTGTTTTAAGTTCGATATTTTCTTCAGTTGTAGGAATGCTGTCCTTACTTTGCCAATCTCTGACTTTACTTCTACATCAGATCCTCCTTGTTCATCGATGATGCTGTCCGGATACCTGAAAGTTTCTGTCTTTTCCAGAGTTTCTCCAACAAGTGTGATTGGTCTAGTGTTCTCCGTGTTGTATTCGAGGATGTTGCTTTCATGCGATTAGTTCCCTTTATGAATTTAAATAAAGCCAGAACAAACATTGATTCACAATAGTATGAATCCACTATATTTCGTGGTTTCTCAGCTGCTTACAGCCAGTCAGTCAGTTACAACGTTGGACCAGGCACACACATTCATCGGTCCAAGTTGCCACACCTCATTAGCACAGTGAGACGAACACCGGGCTCATAGAAGCAGTTAATTCAATGATGCAATATATAAGGGAAAGATTTTATGTAAGGATATAGTACAGAAAGAAAGAATTAGTTCGTAGGAAGAAAGATATGAAATAATTTTAATCTCATAGTTTAGGGGAAGAGAGAAATTGTATAAACCTATGCCATTGTGATCGTTTCTAAGCCATGTCACCCAGAGTCTCTAATCATGGATTACGATAGTCACGCGGACCCCAACCAAGTAATCTGCATCTACTAATATGGCTAAGAATCGAAATTAGTGACTTCAAGTACTGATGCCACATTTGGTTTGGCCGCCCCTAATTCTCTTCCAACCATCTCTAACACCCGTTAGAATTGCACGTCGTGGTAATCGGTGTTCAGGCATACGTAACACGTGGCCCAACCATCACAGTCGATGAAGATTCACAACCTCATCAACTGATTTACCACCATTTCCTAATACTCTGCGTCTAACCTCACTATTACTTACCCGGTGATCCCAGCAGACACCAGCAATATTTCTAAGGCATCTGTGGTCAAATACTAATAGCTTACGAGTGTATTCTACTCTTAATGGCCATGTTTTGCTACCGTAAAGTAAACCAGAACGGACTGCCGCGCAGTATACTTGTCCTTTTATTGATTAACGGATATCTCGCCTTCGCCAAAGGTCACGTAAGTTGGCAAAAGCCAAGCGAGCTTTTCGAATCCGTGCTGAGATTTCGTCCGATACCGGCCCATTAGGGCTGATCAGACTCCCAAGATAAGTGAAGTTATCGACACGTTCGACTACTTCACTCCCTATCCTTAGTTCAGGTGTTGACGCAGATCAGTCCTGAAGCAACAACCAAATATGTATTAGAATTTTACATTGAGGTAAGAAATAGTGTGGAACAACTGACATAAGTGAATGTAAAGAGTTACTTCTTCCACTATCATTGATATGTTTTACACGTATTTCGGCTTGTCGGCTCTAATTCTCCTCTTCACTCGCTTGCTTGCATACGCCCGTTACCCCACTTTGAGGAGCGTAGGCCGCACACACTTGCTTGTTTGCTGCTGTGTATTTGGTCTATACCTTTCTTTTCTCTGCTTTTATTCGTTTGTAGTTAGTTGCTGTCTTCTTGTTCTTACCTGCTTGAATCCTGCCCAGGATTTCAATAGAGATCCATTCCTTACGAAGGTGCTTCTTGCAACCCGGCAGCTGCTGGCTCGTTGCCCGATCGAAGCTGCTACCTTGACGCGGTGGTCGGGCTTGCCTATCGTGATGACCCAACCGAGCTATATTGGCTGGAACATATGTTCCTGTAGGTTCTACCATGCCAGGCAGGTCGATTGGTGAACGGTAAGACTAAAAGCAGCAACTCAAGGTCTGAGGGCGAAGTCGTACTGCTGACTGTAGAGGGGTGTGACAGCAGTAAGGTGTTTCCTTCGGACAACCAGCATGACAGCGATGCTGCCTTCCCACAAGGAGGGGTGGGGTTAGAAAAGGTCGACCCTAAAAATGTCACACCTCACCTTACCTCACGGATTTCCGTCTCCGGCGGTAAGGCCCTTTGAAGAACGGAGCTAACACGTCAAAAACCTTCCACAAAAAGGCCGTGCGCGACCGGCCTCAAGCAGTTGTCCCTTGGGCTCTGCGGTCACGCTCCCAGGTCGTCAAGACCAACACTAATCCAATTTCCTTTTCAGGTTCCTCAAGAAATACCCTTCCACGGTGTGGGCAGCCGGGAAGTGACATCAGCCCTCATACCCGTAACAGCACAAGAGACCAAGGTGGTCACATTCAAATCCTTCCTACACCTCCTAATACCTCTCTTATCTCCATGACTAACCCTCCTCACGTCTCTTTATCACCTCGCACCGCTAGGGCAAACGATTCGAGTACGTGGAACGCCATTCCTGGTCTCCTGAAACCACGCTCTAAACTACACGTAGGAGCTTTTAACGTACGAACACTTTGCCAAATAGGACAGCAGGCTTCCTTAGCTAAAACTTTAGAATCTCGCGCCATCGATGTGTGCTGCGTCTCCGAAACGCGCATACAGGATCCAAGTAGCGTCATTCATTTGACCTCACCATGCCAAAATAAAGAACCGACTCGATTTACGCTTCGTGTATCTGGAAGCCCTGATTCTGCTTCCCGTGGCCTCGCCGGCGTAGGTATAGCATTGAGTCCTAGGGCAGAACTAGCTCTCTTAGAGTGGATCCCAGTAGACAGTCGTTTGTGCGCTGTCCGACTGAACGG